CTAGAGTGTGGCCCTACCTACTTCAACATGAGAAGATTTTTGTATTTGTCAGTCATTTTATAATGACTTGTAATGAGCTCTTTATTATCAACTGTGGATATAACTTTGCTGTTGGAAATTAACAGTATCAAACAACTGGGTATAATGTTTGTAGTATCTGAGGAGGGAGAGCTGTATAGAAAGTTGTAGTCTCTGTGTTAATTATTCAGTCATTTACGTTATAGTGTGGGAACCGAGGACTTTCTAGAACCACTTTACAGCAGGCCTAGATCCCATCTACACACGTCTTCTGTCACCTGAATACGGAGAAGGCACCCACAGGGCCATATGCTTTCTAGACAAAGAACAAAGATTTCTGCCACACTCAGAAGTCTTTGTCTTCAGACTATAATCACCCACACCATATTTCCTTCTGATCCAGTTTCCGGATTTTGTGCTGAGACTGACACCATATTGCTGTGGTGTAGGGTATGTCATTTCAATACTTTGTGCCCATTTTCATAACTGAAGAGTCAGGCATCACATTGGGCATTTTAAGATTCTTTACAGCCCAAAGATTCTGTGTTTGTAATTAGGCCCAATGTGTTAGAGCTAAAAGGAAACAGTGGATTTCCTGGAAGGAAGGGACTTGTAACACAGGCCAGAGATAAAATGGGGTGCATTTAAGAAAAGATGGGGGCTAACAGTTTGCAGGGATGCTACAGAGAGAACTCCAGCCTTGTATGGAGGAATGAATGTGATACAAGCAAAGAGTCTTTAAAATTCCTTCCAACCAATCTGGGATCCATAACCTTATGGACTGTGATTTGCAGCAAACCAATAATATGATGCCAGTCAGAACAATATCCCTGATAAACATAAATGCAAAATTCCTCAAAAAGACTAGGATTGTTTCTGGAATGCAAGGATGATTCAACATATACAAATCTATAAATGTGATTGGCCATGTTAACAGAATGAAAGACAAAAACTATATGATTATCTCAATGGATGCAGAAGAATAATTTGACAAAATTCAACATCATTTTATGATAAAATCTTTCAAGAAATTGGGTATTAGAAGGAATGTTACTCAACACAAAAAGGTCATATCAGTTAAGCCCACAGCTAAAATAATGACCATGAATGAGATAAGGATGCACACTCTAACCACTTCTATTCAACATAATGCTGGAAGTCCTAGCCAATTTCATATTAATGAGCCTCATTTTATTAATCATAGAATAAGGTATATGATAATCCCTCTTATACTTACTTTGCACAAATTATGATTATGATTATAATTATTTTGAAACAGGGTCTCACGCAGGCTGCAGTACAGTACCACAATCACAGCTTACTTCAGCCACAATCTCCCAGGGACAAAGGATTCTAGCACCTCAGCCTCCTAAGTAGTTGGGACTACAGGTGCACACCACTAGGCCCAGCTAATTTTTTGTTGTTTTTGTAGAGACGGAATCTCACTATGTTGCCCAGGCTGGTCTCAAACTCCTGTGCTCAAGCGATCTTTCTACTTTTGCCTCCCAAAGTGCTGGGATTACAGGAGTGAGGCACTGTGCCCAGCCCTGCAGATTATTATTGAACTTTGTAAACTAATCAAAGGAGAGTGATTATTATTACTGTTAACAACTCTGATAGCCTCATCCATATATTTGGAGAAATTAAATAAATAGGAAAAAAATAATAGCAATCCAATGATTTTACCTTGGCTCTCCCATTATTTGGGGAAGTGATAATTCAGATAGAAGTGACTTGCAAGCAGTCTTGAGAGATTACCTGTTCTATTCCCTATCTTTGCCTCTAAATCAAATTGTACAGATTAATAAGGTCTTATTTTTAGAACTTACAGAAAAAAGACTCCTTTCATATCCATCTTTGGAATTCTCAATCACTTCTGTAACTATTAAGCATCATTTCAAACATTAAATTCATCATTCTGCTTTGAAGGAACACATGTCATGTGTACCTATTTGTATGTTTTGGTGTGTTTTATGCTTTATGTGATCACCCACATATGCACAGATGATTCCAAAATCCAGTGTGTGGGTGTGTACACACACATACGCACACTCACACACCTGTGCACTCACACATACATGAAATGTTTATGCCTACATTGCATGTTATTGGCAACATTATTGCCTAAGGCGATATTAGCCACCTTGAGTTTTTGGAGAGGTTTTGAAAACAAAGACAAGAGACTACATGCTTCTAGATGTAAGAGGCAATGTTGCAATAAGTTACTGTCCTAAAAAGACTGAGTAAATGGACAAGAGACTATTATTTTGGATGGTTTCTTGTTTACCAGTAATACTTAAATCCTCTACATTAAAAAAAAAAAAAAAAAAGAAACACTACAAATATATTATAGAAGAAATCAAGATGTCCTTCAAGATTCTTAGAATTGAAAAAGATTTTAATGACTTTCCAGTCCAATCTATTTCATGTAATCCGTGGAGTCCAGAGAGGCAAAAGGACTTGTCCAAGGTCATATAGTGAGTTGGTGATAAGGCTGAACAAGGATTCAGATGTTGGGGCTTCCAGCCCACTGCTCTTTTTCTCATCTAGGACTTGTATATTTTTGTTCAGTGGAGATTTTCTTCTGTAATCTCAATACCCAGTGCAGGGCCTGGCATATAATAGATTATCAGTAAATGTTAAATTAATATGTCATGGCTTTGGTTGTACTGGGCTTTGCACTTACTCCTGAGTATACTGTAAAGAATATATATGTTTTAGGTCGCCATGTTTTAGATCAAGATGAACCCACAGAAAAAGTTTGAATTGAACTATGCTAAGGAAATTATCTGAGTTCCAAATTGAAAAAAAAAAAAATCCACACTTTTCCAATATAAACTCTCTCATTCACAGAGAGATTCTCTTTCAGAAATGCAATCTAAAACTATTTTGGGAGCCATATTCCATTGGTTGTGCAACCATTTCTTGGCAAACTGGGGCCCAGGAACTAGCATTTTCCTAGGGAAGAAGAGATTTCTCAACAAAATCACATGCTTTCTAACCTAAGGTTATTTCAGTAATCAGTGTATCAAGCTAGTCTTGAGGATTGCAGCAGTACCAATACTGTGGGAGTGTACCAGTTCTAGAACAGCTACAGCATTGGAACTGAATCCACTAGAATTGAATACAGGACCTGTTTTTGAGGAAGTAACACCCAAAGGCTGAACTTCACTTGTAGCACCATCCCTTCTGTGCACATATCTCAGTCGTCAGTTTACAGCAGAAAGAAAAAAGCTGTTAGCAAATTATATGTTCTACTTATGCAAACAAAACCCTATGATATGGTAGAAAGGGCACTGGCCTAGAGGCCTTAGTTTTCTCCTATGTTGAAAACCTCTAACACAAGCCTGGTTTATAGTACTCACCCAATAAATGGTAGTTTTCTTCCATTGGGAGCCTCTGATTCAGTGTGCTTCTTCAGGTAAGTCACTTCCCTGGAACTCCTCCTTGGAATGAGAGTTGTACTGTTGTGATTTTTAACAATTCCTTCAAGCCCAGGATTTTGGAATCATTTAATAAAGGGAGAAAGGAAGGAAAGAAGAATGAAAAGTTAAAGGGAAAAAACAAGGAAACAAAACATTAAAAAGGAGGAAAGGAAAAAGAATCCTTTACTACAATAAAGCTAATTTTATGTTCTTCCAAGTACCACTTTAAGTAAAAGAAGTTTTTTGCTGACCTAGATACTACTGAATCTACTACATAAAATAGCTTACTGTAATAGCCGTATTTCTGTACCTAATCTGCACGTTTTAGGCTTAGTAAAGGGAGACGAAAGCTGATGTATAGTTAAATTTATGTTTTTAGTTGTGGTTTTTTTTTTTTTTTTTTCTGCTCTCAAGTTTCAATCACTCTTTAGTTTCTGTTTCCATTCCCCACAAGCATTCTTCCTCTGCCTAAAGAAACTTCCCTAAAATCCCAGTCTATTCAGTAAATCAAAGCACAGCAATAAATTTGAAAAAAAAATACCAGGAACATAGAGAAAGAAAGTGGAGTGAGGGGATGCAGAGGCTCAGGCTGGAGCAGGGTTGTAAGCATGAGAAGTTCTGCATATTTCAGAGCAGCCAAGGATGTATCTTTGCCTATTCCTGCTGGTGACTTTGTGTGTCTATGCATCTTTCTGCTACTATGTATATGTTTCGTCAGTCAGTCCACGTTTATTGAGAGCCTGCTGTGTGCCAGGATTGTGCTAGGATAAAGGAACAAAGTATTGAGCAAAATATGTTTTTGAGTAGGCTTTCAGAGTTTTGAGAGGCTGTAATCCTGAGGATCTCTAGGTCTGAGTATGTGTGTGTGTGCACAATTCTGTGTATCTGTGACAACTCCAGGTGTGCATGACAGTGATCTTTGTTACTCTGTTGACTTCATAGAATTTCCTTTTATTTGCTGTGATTCACTACACAGAGTGGGCTTTATCTCTGATTTTTATAACCTGCAAGACTGGGGGTATGATCACTAGCAATCTGAAAACAGTTAGAAATCCCATGGAGTTATCTTTTATAGAAGTTTTCCTATACTATTATGAAAAATAAGCCTCTTATTAGCATGAGTGGAACTCTATGCATGATTACAGGTGTCAATAGGAAGAAACATTGACTGAGTTCAGATCTCTTCTATGCCATGCTAAAGGGGTGACAAGTTCCACAATGGATCATTTTCTCATGGGCATTTCTGGCTTTTGCTAAAAGTAGAGCATCTTATTTTAAAAACCAGTGAGTAGTCCTAATAATGGAGATATCATCAGGATCTGAATTGTTCATCCCCGAAAAAAAAAAAAAAACACTATGAAAATCCAACAATGTAGTGCCAAACGAACTGTTTTAATAGTTAGATTCTTTATGATCAAATTGTTTGGGGCCATACTCTGTCCACATTTTTATGTGGTAGGATATAACTCCATATATGTTCTGTTCTAGAAATACCCAAAGAAAGAGACTCTGGAAACTCATTAAGAGGTCTGTGCACCCTTGTATTTCTTCTCCCAGGGAAACAGAAGTACCTGTGCGCCAGCAGAAATGATTGCACCATTGATAAATTCCGAAGGAAAAATTGTCCATCTTGTCGTCTTCGAAAATGTTACGAAGCAGGGATGACTCTGGGAGGTAAGATACTTTCTTTTCCTCCTCTTCCTCTGTCCTCTTTCCCCCTTTCCTCCCTCGTTTTCTAGCCTCTTTTTAAACGAGATTTTCTTCTTTGATGCTTCCAAGGGGACTGGCCATGCTCTAGATACAGGCTGACCCTTTCTTAGCCAACGTGGCCATCAGCCAGCTGGTGCCTTTTTTTATCCTTAACTATGCCACTCACCATTCTGGGGATCAGCATTAGAGCAGGAGGTGTGAAGCAGGGATCAGGAGCCAACAGAGGGTGAGTGAGGATGCATGTGACTGGGCAGGGTCCCCAGGGAACTTAATGGTACTGGCCTGATGTTGTTCGATGGTAGCTAGGATAAGAGAATTAAGAAATCCAGAACAGTTACAGGTGCAGGATAAGCCAGACACAGGCTGACCCTAAACACCTGGGAATATCCTTCAGCTAACTGTTGCCTATGTTGTAGGGCCAGCTACCTGGAATGAGAAGCTGCTTCTCTTTGGAGCCTGCGACTAGGCTACCAAACAGCCAATTTCCTATCCTATATCTCCCAAAGATGAACAGATGTTTTAATCATTTTCTTTTCTTTGCAAATCTATTGATCATTTCCAAAAGCATTTTTTTCAGTGGCACAGCAACATGATAGAAGGAAGATACAGCTCTTTCAAGGGCGTTCCTCTATCATAACACTATCCCCTGAGCCTGTCTACCATGAGCATTGTCACAGTTCCAGAAAGGCTTAACATCAGTTGATTGACACTTATATTTTCTCTCTCAAAATTCCCCATCTCTTCATGTTTACATCTGCCCAATGCCAGGGTCCTCGCTGCTGCCTGCTGCTTCCAAAAAGATGCATATTTCATGAGAATAACAAGATCATTAATCTACTCCAATTTGGAAATGGAATTTGAAAAAAGGCAAGCTTGTTTCTGAGTGCCCGCAACTGTAGCCCCAATCCTGATTATTCATTATTAGCCTGGAAAACCCAAGTGCCCAGAATCCAACTCTCTCCTCTCGCCTCTTAAGGCTAATTTAGCCCAGTTGTCTGTATCTGGCTTTCTGTGAGGTGTTCAATACCATGTTTGCCTATGTGCACATTTATAGACAACAGCTAATTCTCTTATCCTGGAGCAGGGCCATTTGTGGATCTTCATGTAGAAAACTATATACTCCCCATCCTCACAGGGCAGTAGTATTATTTAAACAGAACAGAGTACCTCAAATGAATTTACCCAGGCTAGATGAGCGACAATTTCAAAAGAAGCATCTCAAGCAGCATCTAGTACTCCCAAACATCACAGGTAGATGTTCTATGAGTGGCTTTCCAGGCATCCACATCAAATGAGACTCAGATATCTGAGAAAGCTCAACCTTGTTTTGTTTTGCTTGGTGTACTCCAAAGAAATCCAACAATTGAGGTCTACAGTGGAGAAGAAGTAGGACTGGGGTCAGGGAGTACAGAGGGAAAGGCAGGAAGGGTGACGAAGTGATTGACAAGAGGAAATGTTCTCCATATGAATGTTTCAGCCCGATGTTGAGGGTTCTTATGCATTCAACCGTCAATTATGTAGCCTTCTGCGAATTATGTATAGTATAAGAGATGGGGACTTTCAGATAGGGAACCTCTTGGCTTGCCATCTGGCAATATGAATTGCAAGTCCACTTTGATGCAGCTAAAGCCTAATGGTAACAAAAGTCCTCATAACATTTGGATGCAAATCTTAACATTAATTCCATGTCTCAGCCAACATTCTCCATTATAAAGCAGGCTGTAACGTAATTACAGTGAACCGCTTCTGAAAAGGAGCCTGTGTATAACAGACAATTTCACTATGCTATATAGCAGTCAGATGCAGGTTTGTAAATTAATTTATTGGTGAGAATGGTTCAGTACATTTTCAAATTGATTTATTGGTGAAGTACTCAAATTTGAGTGGGCTTGGTGAACGCAGTGAAGACAAACTGAGAAGTGCGGTGACTGGCCTTCATTTCAGTTCCATGCCCATGATATTTTACTCAGTGTCTTCCGTGTACAAGGCACCATGCTAGGAATTAGAGCTTCAAGCTGGCAACCATCAGGAAATGTTTCCAAAATACAAGGATTCTTGATATTGTGTAAATGGCCTTGCCTTTAGAGTCAGGCAGATCTAGTTTAAAGGTTCAGCTCCTTTACTTACTGTGTGCCCCTCTGGGCCTCAATTTCTTCATGTGTGATTTAGAGATACCATCCTCACAGAGTTATAATGACGATGACATGATAAATGTGAACATCCTTGATAAATAGCAAAGTGCTAGACAAATGTGGGGGCTTAATATGACATGGAGGTCACTAGTAATTTAGCTGGAAAGGCTGTAATACAGCACTTCCCAATGGCTTTTACCCTAAGTAACTTGGTATGCCATATAATATGTAACACCAGAGAATTGCAAGAAAACACTCTTGATTACCTGAAACCAAAAGCACCACCAGAAACCTATTCAGAAGCTAATTTTAGTAATTGAGTGAATCATATGCTACATTCAAATATCATACCAGTAAAAACCCAATTGTTTACCTTCTTAAATCACTGCTTGAAGAACAAATCTTTCCATTTTGCTGAATGAACTTATCTCCACATTCCTTACCCTACTGCCACAACACCCTCTCAAGTTTTTTGTTAACTTACACATCCAGTGCACAGCACACCTTTACTCAAACAATGGAAAAGAAAGTGTCAATACAAAGTGGCCCTGTCTATTCCTTAAGGAGTAGACTTCCATTTTCATGAGATTTGGATTTAGCATAGACATATTGATTACCTAGAAGAAGAATTCATATAGTTTTATCTTCTGATTCCCATCACTCAAATCAAAATTAAATGGTATATTCCAAAATGGCAACTAGGAATGTGGCCTTGAGCAAGTCCCTTCTCTTTTCTGATGCTTTGTTTTCCCATCATAGAACTGGAATTGTGAGTTTCACTAAGGACCTTTCTGGTGCTAACATTTTGTGATTCTATGTAAAAAGCCACACTTTTGTTTTTCAGCTTTTTCTTAGATTGTCTGTCCCCTGTTCCCAGAAGTATAGTGAGATTTGAGTGCTTTCATATATCATAATTGTATCTACCTCCATTCGTACCTACATAAGATACCTGTCTAAAAGTAGACTAGACAGATTATTGAGGGAGTAGAGTGCAGAAGGGCTATCTCTGTATAAAGAAGCTGGCATTCTTCAGCTGACGGTTGCTTGGTCTTCAGGCCTCAAGATCTCTAATCTGGCTTTCTCTGTCGTGTTTCATTCACTGTTTGGTGATGGAATCTCTTCAGCTCAAAGGTACTTAATAGATACAGCTTTAATTCTTTCAGGCTTCCAGGCTTCCCTACCTGTTATTTGCTTTTTTTCTAGTAGTTGTTGTTTCTGAAAGGATCTTGAGGGTGGCTGGAGTCTCAGAATGCTTTCCTTAAAGGCTACCTTCAGGCTCTCAGCTGCTCATCCACAACAAAGATAAGCCTTTCTTTGTAGACACATTCCGGGCTGCATTTAAAAACCATATATTGTTAATTGCTTAAAGAATTTAAATCCCTTGACTACTTTTCATTTCAGAAAACACTTACAAAAAGTGTCCAAATAAGGACCTTCCCTCCAAGGAATTTGCTGTGGCTTTCTCACAGTCCATAGTTAGGATAAATGTAAAGCCATCTCTCATTTTTCTCTGCACTTTCCAAGGGTACACTCCTTGTGTCCAAGATAGAATGAGAAAGAAATGCCCTTCCTGCCTTCTTCTCCCCTGACCCTTTCCTCCTTCCCACTTTCCCTCCTATTCTTCTTCAAACATGATTTATTTCTGTGTTTTGCAACTCTTGAGTTCTCAGCTTTTAGTAAATGGTGTTGGCCCCTATTGATTCCTTCCATCTCCTAGACCATGGAAGATAGTAGGCCTTTCGGAAATTTCAGGTAGCAGCCAAACCCTGGAAGAAGAGAAGGAACATGGAGTCCTAGACCATGTGAGAACCTGAAGTGTTCAGCATGTCCTTCACAGATTCGTCTAGCATATTTCAGAAGGCTCTTTCCAACTAGGAGACTGAATTCTGCATCTGAGAATAAAAACTTAACATATCTACAGGTTTTGACAACCTCTATGAATTATCTAGTTAAGAAGATGGCTCAAGGAGCCCATGGCCATGTTTTGATGTTGTTATGGACGCTATGAACATCCTTGCAGTTTCCATTGTTGAAGACAGCCCTGATGCCAACTGTCTCATCATTCCCCATGTTCAAGAGCATCTCAGCATTGCGCTCTCTGGATCTCATGTCCTGAATGCAACAAAGTGATTTCACTGCTGAATCACTATTTATGGCATAGCTCTTCACAGCATTTATTCATCCATGTATCTATTCATCCATCTTTCTAGCCAGCCAAGAAGCTCATGCTTTCATCTTTTCATCCATTTACTCGTCTATTCATTCATTTAGCAAATATTTATTGAGTGCCAACTATGTGCCAAACACTCTGCTAAGCATTTTGGAGAAGCAGAACTGAATAAGATATTATTCCTTCCCTCAAAAATTTAGGCAAGGGGAGAAAGGCAGTGATAAGGAATATACTTTAGCTATACAGGAAAATAAGAAATCACTGGGAAGAAGTTTAATGAAATGGAAGAAAAAGGACATCCAAGGCAAAAGGTACACTTTGAATAAAGGCATAGAGACAGGAACAAAATGCATTGATGGTTTGAGGAACAGCAATTGGTTTAACATGGCCAGAGCTGGGGAAATGGGAAAGGCAAGCTGAAACCACATTGAAAGCAAACTTGGTTATAATACTAGATAGTTTAGACTTCAAGCAGTTGAAGATGTATGAGCATAGGACAGGCATGATTACATATTATTTTGTTTATTTGCATGTTTTTTTTAGAAGAAAACTGGCAGCAGCAAGAACATTTTGTTGATGAGGGCTTAAATTTTAGGAAGCAAGACAATTTTAGAAAGGCCAACTAGAGAAAAATTTCTAGCATAAAATTTTGCTAAACACCT